TTTTTGATGACAGACGAGGTAGATTTGAAGTTTGCAGTAAAAAAGATGTTCCGTCTAGATCTCTCTCAAAATGTTCTATTTGTAAAGTATTACTGTGTTGTAATGCTAAATTTCTATTACAAGTTAGTTTCAATGTTTTTCATAATTTATAGGAGCCTTTTCAAACACTATCTAAATTTCTTATTTTACCATTTAAATTTACTTCCAGACGCCTAATGGTACTTCAGAGTACCACCTTAAATTTTAGTAGAAAAAAATAAAAAAAAAATTTGAAATAATTGAATATGTGAATTTTGTCATATCAACCGACTTGGGCAAGAAAAAAGTTTAATAAATATATTTTTGTTTGGTCAGGCAACAAAGGGTTAAATAATTTATCTACTGGTTTAAATCCACCATCAAGAAAGAGGCGCAGACTAATAATAGTACACATCGGTAGTTCAAACGGTTTTGTTAAAGGTGGTTTATTGACTTTTGAATCTACTCGTACCGGTGACTACCATGAGGACATGAATGCTGATGTCTTTAAAGAGTTGTTCGAACAAATTATAGATCTTCTTCCTCAGAACTGTATAATAGTAATGGATAATGCAAGTTATCACTCGAGACTTATAGAAAAAATGCCCACAACCAAGTGGTTAAAAAAAGATTTACAGAATTGGCTAAATTCAAAGAATATTAAGTTCCATCCCGGTTCTGTGAGAAAAGAACTATATCATTTGTGTTCCTTCCATAAAGAGAAATTCAAAAAATATGAAATTGATGAAATTGCAAAAAATCGTGGGATAACGGTGATTCATAGATATATAACCAAGACAGATAGGATTATTTACAAAATTTTTGAAGAATGAACGGTGGTGTCCGCGGTAGAAACTCAATAATCGGATTGAACATTGATGCCAAGTTTACGTGCTTTTAACTATAGATATATATAACCAATACAGATTACACAATTTCTGAAGTCAACGCGGATGATCCTCGACAGAAATGCAATATTTGGATAAAATTAAAATATTGATGCCAAGTTTGCGATGTTTTTAACTGTAGTAATGTTATTGCGTTTGCTTGAATTACTGTTAGGTCTTTAAAGTGTCAAAAAAAAAAAATAATGTCTGACAACAGCGGAAGTAGAGTAGACCGCAATTGTGGAGGGTCGTATATTGTTTCATTCATAAAAATTCCTTCGATACAGTACTAGTCCAGGAGCCAGTGAATTTTTTCGTACTTGTTTTCCCGGTCCGTGTATATTTAAATAATCTATTCCCGGTGAACTGTATATTTAAAATGGAACGCCAATCTATTAACAAAAGTAAGCCAGATTGAATTCGCGCATTACGTCACATCGATACAAGTGAGATTGTTTACAAAGTGCCTTTGCAGGCCTATTTTGCCCATTTCATGTATTTGTTTTTAAATCATGTTAAATTACTATTTTTGAAACTCAACAAGGAGAAAATCCAATTAACTCTTCCGTTGTGTATATATATATATATATATATATATATATATATATATATATATATATATATATATAGGATAAATTAACTGAAGTTTTATTAGTAAAGTATTAATACTAAAATTTTAATGTTAATTTACAGAAAATAGCTAGGTATGTATTTGTTTTTAAATAATTTGATAATTTATGAAAAAGGGAGTAAAAGTGGAATGACCAGTGGCCAGTAGGTCAGTCAATACAAAGTATCATATATTTCTATTATAACATAACTAAAATACCTACATATTTTAATCATAAGGACATAAGTAAAAAACCATTTTAATATATGCATTACAATGAAGTAATAATAACTTAAAGAGACGAGGTCTTAAAGTAATAGCTGGTACAGCATGTTTTTTAAACGTTTCCTCATTGCTGCTAGAATGAAATCACTTACTATGAAATGTGCTCTAAAAACGGCATTTATAGCAGTCAGTGTTCAGTCTTAGGATCTCTTCCTAAAGCCCTCATCCAAGATGCATACATATTAAAAAATAATTTAAAAAAAAAAACATATTATATACCTATATAGTTTTCGGTTCTGGGTGCCCTAAAAGAGGACACTTAGCCGACAATTTGGCTCAGATAGCTAAAACCCAAAAGTCACACCCCGAACCAGGACGTATTGCTATCCTTTTAAGTAAAAAATAACTGCAAATAACTTAACTGAAAAATGAAAGCGTCTAACTGTACACCAAAAAAACCATACACTTTTTCCCATTGTTGCAAGCACCCGATGACGATTAGGTAGATATCAACTAGAAGCATGTACTTAATGGTTATAAAGCTTATTTTAACACAAAAAGAATAAAGCACTAGTCGAAAAGCAGCAATCAAATATAAATAGACCACAATATTAAAATTCAAATTAAAAACTATATAAAAGACAAATACTCTAAAAGCGCAAAAGATCAGAACCAAATAAAATGAATAACCATAATAACCTAAAAACCACACTAAAATTGCAAAAACTATTACTGTAAAATCATGAAATTACATCAATAATGCATATGCGTCGGAGTATCGCAAATGTCAAAAGTACAGTGTTTCCATGAAAATTTAGCTATGTTTTTAGCAGTATTATAGGACCATTTCTACCACGCGCATCCAACGATATTGGCGTTCCACAGTTCACTGTATTTTCCTCACACCTCTAGTATAAATAATTTGTCATAACGAAACTAACAATAATTATAATTAATGTAGAGTAATAAGTGATTCGTGAATTCTAAATAAAACAATTATTATATAAAAGTGTAAAAGGAAATGTAATTTATTTCCCTATTTTCTTCTGTAATATCTTCAATTATTATGTTTAATTTCTATAAATAAACCAACTGGTTAGGTGAAACATTGTGATATAAGATTTTATGTGTCCTATGCGTACACTTTAATATACAAAACACATGGAACATTCTTTAAATAATTGTGTACATAACTCGTTTGAAAGTGTATTTTATGCACTTGCCAAATATATTATCCATACAGATTAATCAGACTATTTTTTTACTAAACTTCAGCACATCTCTTACTACTAAAACTATTTTTATCAATGGAAAAAAAGGGCCGTGTTCTCGTATGTTTTGACGCATTTTCGGCCTCAGCCCATCGGATCCCCCCTCTCTAAATATATATGAATTTTGCTTAGAATTGCTAATCCTACAATTCTCTATTCGTGCTTGCTGACTGGGAAAATAAATACCGAAAATCGTCACTGTTTCCTGGACTATACAATAGATGACGATGATGAGAACTTCACAACAAATACACTTTTATGAATGGCTAGTTGGGGATGTGCGGTTGTTAGATCACCACCATATCATTGCGAAGTAAACCCGATTGAACTGATATAGGCACAGATAAAGGAAGAGGTTTCAAGAAAAAATAATTCTTTTAAAATGAGTGATGTTAAACAGTTGTTTTTGGAGGCTGTAAATAATGTGAAGCCTGAAAACTGGGAAAAGGCAATAAATCATACGATTAAAGAAGAAGAAATAATGTGGAAGTTGGACAATATTACTGATGAAATGATCGAGCCACTCATTGTAAATATTGGTTGCGACAGTTCATCTCCTGATTTCGATTCTGATTTGGATTTGTAGGTAAAATTATTATTTTTGAACGTAACGTTGTTTAAAAGTCAAAGTTTAAACCCTTATACCTACATAACCCGTTTGACACAATGTTCTTAACATACCTTGTGGAAAATTGCACTTTTTTACCTTCAGCTGTTTAGAAGTTATAAGCAGGTTAATTAGGTGAAAATATAAGTGTATACTCAAGGAATAACTTCAAAAAATATTTTAACTGTCTACTAAAAGAAGTGGTACGCCTATGGATTACGAACGCTTTATTATTTTAATACTCTCTCATACATAAAAATAGACGGCATAATTAAATATCAGTATTATTAATATATCTACAGGGTGAGTCGGGAGGAGCGCACCAATCTCTAGGAGTATATTATACACGTGAAAATAATATAAAAAAACTCATATGTTCTTATCCGATTTTCATTTGTTTTCAAGTTATGGCGTAATTAAAAATGTTCATCTAGCTGAATTTTAACGTTATCAAAGTATGCCATATGTTCAAGGCTCAAAGGCATTTAATAATTCTGATGTTTTGAAGAACTGTCAGTGTACAGTGAACAGTAACTGAACGTTTAATTTCGAATTTATGTGATTGTTAGAAAATGTTTAGAAGTCAATGGCGGTATTTTTGAACATTTATTGAAAGAACGCTATGATTAAGAGAATTTTTATGTGTAAATTTGTTTATTTGTTAATATGCTATAACTTGAAAACAAATAAAAATCGGATAAGAACATATGAGTTTTTTTACATTATTTTCACGTGTATTGTCATGATATCCCTAATCCGATCCTGTGTCTGTGTACGCACGCGGCCTTCACATGGCAACCAATTCGTGATCGAGGCAACGCTGACGTGTGGAAACAGCCGGACCACGTCTCGAATGTAAAAGAATACGACGGAATGTCTGCCGCTGAAGCACTGGAAGTGACTGGAATGGCGGAGAGTGCCGCTTAGTCATAAAAAGGAATGTTCGAGAGCCTCTCGTATTTTCCAGTAGCGGATTTGGAGTAATATAAATAGCCGACGTATCAGCGCCAAGTTTAGTTTAATGTAGAACATTGTATTGAAAAGTTAAAGTGTAAAAAATAAATTAGAATTGTTAGTTAGTGTCTAAATATTACATAAATTAAATAGTACGTCTAAAATAAATTGTAAATAGTGTGTTTTTAAATAAATAAACTTTAAATAAATTAAACTTTCGTCACAGTATAATATACTCCTAGAGTTTGGTGCGCTCCTCCCGACTCACCCTGTATATATAATTCACAAAGACACCGTAACGTACAAAGAGTTCATTTTGAACGGTGTTTACTATAACTTTTTTTTGGCTTATATGGTAAAGCCATTTTCAGAATATTTTTGAACAATTTGAAAGAAAAAATTAAATGGACAAAAATAAAGATTCTTACCCCATGAATTTGCAGAATTATTGTAGCAAGCTCCAACGAACTTTGTAAATAATCGAATAGCGTTACATTGCTCAATACCATATTATAATTATCTACATACCTAAAAAGCAATAAATACAAAATTAGTTGATACAGAAATGTTGGTGAGAAATCCACCGTTCATTGGCCAAAGTGCCTTATCAGCAAACTCAGCATTTTGCACCTTCATAGCGATGAACCCGAGGTTATAAATACGTTGTCAACGAGGGAATTAAGTTATAATCAAATGGAAAGTGGGCAAAGGTAAAACCCGATTTTTTCGGAGGAGCACACTTCGTCATAATGTGCAGAAACCTTAGATAAAAGAGACCAGAGATATAACATACAGGGGTGTTTAACCTGCGCAAATGTTGCCAATTTCTAAAGAAAGGTTAACGGAGTGGGGGAACTGGGCAAGGACCCGAACTCTGTGACAGGGACCGGACTTTGTTTATTAGCATCATAATGAACTATTAGATTAATTTAAAATATACGTTTAATAGAATTTTGTAATATGAAATAAATTTAACGTGATTTTTTAATATCAAACAGATGCCACGACATTTTATGTAAAGAGAAGACCTTTAGCTATTATTTACTACGGACTTTTCCGTAAGAGACTACAGTAAAATGTTGAAATAGAATATTGTTAATCGAGTAAGAAATGGCACTCATTGTCTAAGAGTATTATAAAAAAAGCATGTGCGCAGGCGAATACTACAAATCAAACCTTGTGAGTTAAACATTATATTTTTTCTACGACTATCATATAATATTAAAAATTAGTCAATATAAGAAAATGCTGTTTTGTATTATAACCTCAGAAAAAGATATATTAAAGCTTGTTTCTTTAGGAATATTAATTAATATAGAGGATGAGTCACATAAAACTCTAGAAATGAATATGCCTGAAACCAGATGATAACATTTTAAAATTTAAACCTATTAAAAGTCATTTGGTCGCTAGGAGTGGGTGATTATCGAAATAATTTATTGATCATTAATAATAATCGATTATTTTCGATCAATCGATTATTTTCAAACAATCTAGTTTTGTTCGTATTTCCTTTAAAATCAAGTACTTGATTATCTTTAAAAAATCAAAAATAATAGAATAATTAAAAAGCCAATTAACCGATAAATCAGTTTTTTTGTTTTGGAGTGAGGGTAGCCATATGTGAGTAGTAGGGATTAAGTGTAAGGGGTTAAAGAAACTGTCATTTATTTCTCACAAGTCAATTTAATTGGCGACCGGTTTCGAAGCTGTCACTTCATCATCAGGCACACCTTGACTATTTCGATAAACCGATAAATCAGTGTTTACAAAAAATAATAAACGAATTATCGTTTATTTTAAATAATCGATTATTTTTAAATAATCTATTTTTTTTTCGTATTTCCATTGAAACAGATTATTCGATAATCTTTGAAAAATCTAAAATAATCAATAAATCAAAAATAATCGATTAATTAAAAAGTCGAATAATCGATAAATCGATTTGTCAAAAAAAAAAGAATTATTTCCTTTAAAATCAATTATTCGATCATTTTTGAAACATCGAAAATAATCGATTAAGGGAAAATAACCAATTAATTAAGAAGTCGACTCTACGATAAATCGATTTTCCAAAAAAAAAAAAATAATAACTGAATAATTTTTTATTTACAAATAATCCTTTTTTTTTTCATATTCCTTTTAAAATTGATTATTTAATTTTCTTTGAAAAATCGAAAATAATCGATTAATAAAAAGCTGATTTACCGATAAATCGACAATAATAAAAAAATAATCGAAATATCGATTATATAATATAACCGATTATATTCGATCAATCGATTATTTTTATATAATCTATTTTTTGTATTTTAAAACAAATTATTCGAATACCTTTGAAAAATCGAAAATAATCGATTAATTTAAAGTCGATTAAACAATAAATCGATTTTTCTAAAAATTCCTTTATAATCGAATATTTCATTACTTAAAAAAACGAAAACAATTTATTGATTAATCGAAAATAATCGATTAAAAATAAACGATTAATTAATCGATTTTCATGAAAACGATGAATCGATTATTTTTGTAACCCCTATCGGTCGCATGCTTTTATCCGAGCATTTAGCTCCAAAATTTAGAGATTCGGATTTATTGATCCTGTAATCTTTGAAACCGCATTCGATTGTATAATAAATATTGCTAGACTTTAGATTTTTTTAGTAAACGAAGATTTTTTTTCGAGTTGTTTAGGGGTTTATAATGTAACATTTTACTAATAATATGACTAATTTCCCTAACTTTAGTATTTTTTGCTTATACTAGATCATATTGCGCGTTTTACTTTGTTTTAAGACTTAAGATTCAAATGTCACTTCCGATTTAAGCGCAAATAAAATGAACCTTGAAATTTTAAGTAGGTGAACCTGTATTTCATCTAATATTCTTGTAAAAATACCAATTAAAGGGCTAAAAACCACCTATAGTAAATATTCTTATAAAACTACTTTTTAAAAACTAAATTTCGTTAGTAACAATGCCTATTTACTTCTTATTTAGATTAAATGTTTAAAATTTTAATCTTTTGTAAATTAATGCATTATGAAATCTATTTTCTGAAATATTATGTATTTGATGTTAATATTTATTGAAACCCCTTAATGCGGATCTGAAGTATTCAGCTCAAAGAATCATGGCGACTTTATGTCAAAACGTCAACAAATATTTACTGCTGAAAACGAATATATTTCTTATTTATCATAATATTGACACTTACGAGTTGTATATACAATTTTTCACCATACATCGTGGCATTTTCAACTTGAAATTGAATAACTAAACACTTTAAATTGCTAATAACACCAACAAATCATTCAAAAATAGTCCATAAATGATTTACTCACGTGGAGACAAGTATAGAATAGAAATTTCGGAGCAATTCGGGTGGCGTCGTGAACACAATGATTTTTAATTGGTGGGTTACTTAGGGTTGGAATAGACAACGTGCGCAATGTGCAATGTTACGTCTCCGGTCTCTTTTATCTAAGGCAGAAACCAATTTTAGTTTGTAGACGTGGTCAAACAGATTTAAACGTGATCTAAGCCGCCTGCCGCTCATCACCGCTCATACAAGTTGAATTCAGTAGCGTAGTGTTACTTATTTGTACTTGTTGCATTTATTTAGCTATTTTGAGTTTCTTGAGCTTTGTGCTTCGATTTTTGAGTTTCCTGAGTTTTTGTGCTTCGATTTGTATGTATATAAACTTTAATGTGTTATATTTTTTTTGAATTTCTAATTAATTTTGTGTATATTTTGGTAAGTACATTTACAAAACTGTAAATATTAATCTCAGAAGAAACCGAACATCCTGAAATATTTTAAAACCAGATTTTTTGTAAACCATATTTTATATATTTTATCACCAAGTTCTTAATATTTAAGGTATTGTACTTGATATTTTTTTTGTTGCTATATAGCGGTGGTCGCCAACCTGTCGATCGCGAGCTATCGGTAGCTCGCGGAGGCAATTCTGGTAGCTCTCACAACGATTTTAATTTAAAAAATACAAACTGCAAAAATCAGAGAAGCTTCCGAAAATTCCACAAAAAAATCTAATTGTCATAATATTAAACATAAACAGCGGCAACGTTGCGGTGAGCGATCTGCCGCAGACGCCATCAAGCTAGAATCGGCTAGAACCGACCAGCCGGACCAGCGCGTTAGTGTTCGAGAACGATCAGGATTGCTTTGAACGGGATAAATACGCACGGCGCGGCGACATTGCGCTTAGTTTAAAACTGAACGCGTAACCAACGTCCAGCGGTTGGGTTAGTGAATAAATAACAATGACCCTACGAAACACGAAAGTGTTTGTTTGTAGGTATATATACAAAAAATTAATTTAGAATATAAACAAGATATACATATAAATTTCACAGTAGATATAAATATAAAAAATACAAAAATATATAAATATAAATGCGACTAGTAACGCTATTTTAAAACATGTTCATATACATAGAAAAAGAGAACAATACAAAATTCTTATATCAACAATATGAAGTCAGGAACAGCATTAGATCAATTTTATGTAACAGTATATTATAAAAAGAACAAAAAATTAAAAATATTAATAATGTTAAATATATATTATTATAAATTAATATGAATAAGCAGGCAGAATAAAGAGTTTTTTTGCATTTATATATTATTATCTATTAAATCATATATTAAAAGTCTGGAAAATTCCAGTAAATGTTTTTTTAAAAGTACTTTAAATATTTTAAATCTATTTTCTTCTTTTATGTTAATAGGCAAATAATTGAAAATTTTTGGTCCTAAGAAACTGTAGCTTCTTTGGCCGACAGATTTATGCATAAACGGAATTAGGTATTGACTATGTCCTCTAATATCATATGGGTAATATTTATGTGTTAATTTATGTTTATTTTTGAACTGTGTTGTTGCAATACTTAAAAATAATGTATCCCAGATAATTGCACAAAAAAAGAAACCTTATGAAGACGGGGAAATGATAAAACAGGCGTTTTTAGAAGCTGCTGATTCGTTATTTGCCAACTTTATTTTTTTACAGTTAAGAACTGACTTAGATAACTGTTTATTTTTCACTTCAACTGAATGAATTAACAGATGTCGTTGACACTGCCCAGATGGCAGTGTTCGTCAGGATGGTTTTTAGTGATTTTACGATTAAAGAAGATCTTTTGAAGTTTATTCCACTGAAAGGACACACTACTGGACAGGAGTTGTTTTCTCATTTAAAAAATATTATTTCTTCCGAGAAAATTCCAATATCGAAAATGGTAGGCTTGACAACCGATGGCGCTCCAGCTATGGTGGGTTGTGATAAGGGTCTGGTGGCGTTATGTCGTAAAGATGAAAGTTTTCCGCAATTTCTCTGTTACCACTGCATTATCCATCAGCAAGCATTATCTGGAAATTTCCTGAAACTAAACAACGTTATGAAACTGGTGGTAAAAATTGTGAACAAGATTAGAGCTCAAGCGTTATAAAGAAGATTATTTAAAACCTTGGCCGATGAAGTTGACTTTCAATACGGAGACCT